ATGAACTTTTTGCTAGTCAGCTAACTAAGGTATGTAGGAAGCACATCACAATAGTAATGGGGGACTTTAACTACCCTGACATCAACTGGGAGACAAACTCCGCACCAAGTGGAAGATCAAACAGGTTCCTGGCAAACCTAGCAGACAACTTTGTCTCCCAAAAAGTAGAGAAAGGAACTAGGGGATTAGCCATTTTGGATCTAATTCTCACTAACAGAGATGAAATGATAGATGGTGTTGAAGCCATAGGAACCCTGGGAGGAAGTGATCATGCAATATTAGAATTCAACATTATAGAAGCACAACCAATAGAACACAGTCAAACTAGAGTCTTGGACTTCAAGAGAGCTAATTTCAATAAACTTAGAGAGGGCTTGGGAAGGATTCCATGGATGAGAATCCTCAAGGGGAAAACAACTCAAGAAGCTTGGGAAATTTTGAAAAATGAGATAATAAAAGCACAGTCTAGCACAATACCAACAAAGAGGAAAAATAACAGCTCTCAAAAGAAACCAGCATGGCTGCATAAAGAACTCTCTGACAAATTGAAAGATAAAAAGGACAAGTATAGAAAGTGGAAAGAGGGGAACATAACTAAGTCAGAATATCAGCAAATAGCCCGAGCCTGCAAAGATGAAGTGAAGAAAGCCAAGGCTCAAAATGAACTAAGGCTTGCGACCAAAGTCAAAAATAACAAAAAAAGCTTCTTTCAACATGTAAAAAACAAGAAAAAAGTGAAGGAAATGATTGGTCCATTAGTGGGTGGAAGTGGCAAGAAGGTGACAAGCAACAGGGAGAAAGCAGAACTATTTAACTCATTTTTTGCATCTGTCTTTACACAAAGGGAAAAAACAGACCAACCTATCAAAAATAGTGCCATAAAAAACAAAACAGAAACACAAGTTAAGATAGGCAAGAAAATCGTTAGGGAGCACCTGTCCAGCCTAGATGAGTTCAAATCGCCAGGACCAGATGGATTACACCCCAGAGTTCTCAAGGAACTGGCAGATGTGATATCGGAGCCACTGAACTATATTTTTAAAAGATCCTGGAACACAGGGGAACTACCAGAGGACTGGAAAAGAGCTGATGTAGTTCCCATCCTCAAAAAAGGAAAAAAAATGGATCCAGGAAATTACAGACCTATCAGCCTGACCTCAATACCTGGGAAGATCCTGGAAAAGATAATCAAACAACGAATCAACGAACACCTAGAGGCAAACAAAGTCATTACTAAAAGCCAACATGGGTTTGTCAAAAATAGATCATGCCAGACAAATCTTATTGCATTCTTTGACCAAGTGACAAAATTAGTGGATCAGAGGAATGCTGTGGACATAATTTACTTGGACTTCAGTAAGGCATTTGATAAAGTAGATCACAACCTACTACTTGACAAGATAGAAAAATGTGGGGTAGACAGAACCACCACCAGATGGATCCGTAGCTGGCTGACCGGCCGTACTCAGCGAGTGGTCCTCAATGGAACTGCATCTATATGGAGGGAAGTGTGTAGTGGGGTGCCCCAGGGCTCTGTTCTGGGCCCAGTACTCTTCAACATCTTCATCAACGATTTGGATGAAGGGATAGATGGGGAACTCATCAAATTTGCAGACGACACCAAGCTGGCAGGAATAGCCAACACTCCAGAAGACAGGCTTCAGATACAGAAGGATCTGGACAGACTTGAACACTGGGCACTAACTAACAAAATGAAATTCAATGGTGAAAAAAGCAAGGTTCTACATTTAGGCAAGAAAAACCAAATGCACAAGTACAGCATAGGTGGCACCATGCTCAATAGTAGTAACTGTGAGAGGGACCTCGGAGTCCTAGTAGACAATCACTTAAATATGAGCCAGCAGTGTGCTGCAGCTGCCAAAAAGGCCAACACAGTGCTAGGCTGCATTAACAGAGGGATAGAATCAAGATCACGTGAAGTATTAATACCACTCTTCAATGCCTTGGTAAGGCCACACTTGGAATACTGCATCCAGTTTTGGTCACCACGATGTAAAAAAGATGTTGAGACTCTAGAAAGAGTACAGAGAAGAGCAACAAAGATGATTAGGGGACTGGAGGCTAAAACATATAAGGAACGGTTGCGAGAATTGGGTATGTCTAGTTTAACGAAGAGAAGGACAAGGGGGGACATGATAGCAGTATTCCAATATCTCAGGGGCTGCCATAAAGAAGAGGGAATTAAGCTATTTTCCAAAGCACCTGAAGGCAGGACAAGAAGCAACGGGTGGAAACTAATCAAGGAGAGAAGCAACCTAGAACTAAGGAGAAACTTCCTGACAGTGAGAACAATTAATCAGTGGAACAGCTTGCCTCTAGAAGCAGTAAATGCTCCAACACTGGAAGTTTTTAAGAAGAGACTGGACAGCCATTTGTCCGAAATGGTGTAGGGTTTCCTGCCCGAGCAGGGGGTTGGACTAGATGACCTCCAAGGTCCCTTCCAACTTTACTACTATTATTATTATTATTAGTGAAGGGATTTTTTTTTTTGGCATGTGGCATACATGGGAAGGGAAGTCTACAATGCTTTTTATCAGTAGTTCTGGCAGCCTAAGATTGCTAGTTCATTTTGTTAATGCATGCATGTTATCTAGGGCAGGGCTTTTCAACCAGTGGTATGGGTACCACCTGTGGTACATTGGCACCTGGCAGGTGGTACGCGACCATCCTAGAAAAGTGGTAGTGGGGGATGGGAATGAGCTGAACCAACGCAGCATCGCACAAGCCTCAGCGAGAGATGGCTGGAGCTGCAGGGCTGTCAGGGCTCAGTGGAAGCACCAGGATCAGCACCAAACCCTAGATCCTTTTCAACCTTTTCACCCATTGTACCACCTTTAGGATATGGCAATATCCGAGTACTATCAGTCGCCTAGCAAAGTGTCAAAAATTTGATGACAAAAAAAGTGACTGTTCGAAGTTACAGTGGCACTAAAAAAGTGCCCCCCGAGCCACAGCCGAGCAAGACACCTGCCTGCCCACCTGCCCGCACTCTTCCTCCTGTCCGAGGTTTTCATTGTTGTGAGCATTTCTGTTGAGGATTGGCAGCAGAGTGGGGTGGGGAGTGTAACACTAATAACACTAATCATGATTGTTAGGAGCCACACTTCAAGTGGATTGAGGACTGTTAACAGCCTTTGTACAGTTCCCATCTGCAGTTAAAGTTAGCCTAGGATTTTTATCTTAAAGTCTGAACTTTCCATCCTTTTCACACAAACACACAAGAACAAACTCCAGATAGTTCTTTAGGTCTTTAGCTAAGAATCTAGAAGGACAAGAAAATGTACAGAAAAGTTCCAGAATTAATTGGTTCCTTCTGTGTGGTGTGCCCATAACATTCTTATCAATGCTTTGGCCACAAGTAATAGGTAACATTTCTCATAGTAAATGCAGCATCACGGAACCTCTGCCTATTCTTCACAAGCAATATCAGTCAGGGAACATTAACATTGCTGGCATCATTTCTCAGCTCTACCTGTTTCATATGATGATGGACTTCAAGACAGCTCCTTCTAGCGACCTCTTTGAGGATAGTATGTACGTACTCAGTCATGGCCAGAGAGATATGTGTAAAATAAACTGATTATGAATGAGTGTTAAGAGCATTGTTTGAATGTTTATAGATGCCTAGAATAGAATGTGTCATTTGGTCTTGAGGTATCTTTGAGTAAAAAAAAACTAATTGCTGGTTATTTGTGCAATATATTCATATGTACACTGCCTTTGCATGTGCATAATAATTTTATGGCATTTACACTTTTTATATATTTGTTGCATTTATCTGCTTTATTAATCGGATGTCACCAAATGCCATTTTTTTTACTGAATGGATATTTATTTTTGTCCAACTGCTAGTCTCCCTGCTTTCCCTAAATGTCAGCATTTTTAGATTAGACCTGTAGAAGCCAGGTATTTTCTTTGGAGATACTATACCATATACTTAATTTAATTATATTACTGTACAACCAAAAGTATTCAAATGGTACTTCCTCTGTACAACACAACAGCTATATGAAGGGAGCTGAGAACCAGGTTTCCCTCCTTAGTATCATTCAATTTTGGTCACCACAGTACAAAAAAATATGTTGAGACTTTGGAAAAAGTTCAAAGAAGAGCAACTGGCCTGGAGACAAAAATATATGAAGAACAATTGCAGAAATTGGGTATGGCTAGCCTAGAGAAAAGAAGGGGGGTGACATGATAGCAGTATTCCAGTATTTGAGTGGCTGCCACAAAGAAGAGAGGGTCAATTTATTTTTTGCAAAGCAGGAGAAGGCAAGACAAGAAACAATGAATGGAAACTAATCAAGGAGAGAAGCAACCTGGAATTAAGGAGAAACATCCTAATAGTGAGAACAATTAACCAGTAGATCAGCTTTCCTTCAGAGGTTGTAGGTGCTTCATCACTGGAGGTTTTTAAGAAAAGACTGGACAGCCACCTGTCTGAGCAGGGAGTTGGACTAGAAGACCTCTAAGGTCCCTTCCAGTTCTATTCTGATTGATAGTAACATCTTTTGATGAACATCCTAACTTAATCTAGCATGGAACAGTGTTTTAGTCTTGCCCTGTAAATCTTTCCAGAGAAAAGATGGAATGATAAAGTACTTCACTACTTATCTCATTAGCAATAACCATAAAACACATGCTTCACAGCGTGCTACTTACTGTAACCTCCATGGTCAATAGTGAAGGCACCATTGACATACTAAACCCTTCCTAATACAGTCATAGAAGAAAAAGAATACTAAGCAGTGATAGGGGGGAAATTGATTCATATGACTGCTGCCAGTTCTTTCTGATAAATTGCTTTGTTTAGATTACTGACTAGTTTAAATAAGGAGTGTGAATCAGACTCATTATATATACTTAGAGAGAGAGAGTGGATCAACTCCACACATTATACTTGAAAGGAAGGCTAAAATAGTTACCATATTCTGTGTTAAATGTATTATAGCAGTTCATGTACCTCTATTTTCAGAATCATGACTAAGATTTATCAACATATCCTGGCTTTAGCATTTGCAGTTGAGGAGATCAATACTAATCCCCAGATTTTACCCAATGTTACACTGGGCTTCAGAATCTATAACAGCCAGTTCACTTCTAAAGGGATATACCATGCCTCAATGGAACTCCTTTCATCTAAAGACAGATTAATCCCTAATTACAACTGTGACATCCAGAAATATCCAGTAGCAATAATTGGAGGACCTGACACTGATGCATGTCTTCATGTGGCCATCATTCTGCACGTTTACAAGTTTCCTCAGGTAACCTATATCTATATAGGTTACATATATATGCAGTACATATACAATCTGGTTAAATATAATATTTCTTTTAGATAAGACTTGGTCCCTGGGATAAAGCAAAACAATTGAGTGAAATCAAGTGGCATATTTCTCTTTCAGCTTTATTTTGGAATCTGTGAAATGCACTTGTTAATGACCACTGATGCATCAATTGTTGCTGAATACATTCACAGAGCATATTTAAGAACTAAAGTAGCCCCTTTTCTGAATTCACAAAATAGATGGAACCAAATGTCTGGATTTATAAAGCATAGGAAGAGACAAAGGAATGTAAGCAATCTTAAGACTAACAAAGCTTGATAACTTGTGTAAAATCACTGCTTTTTTGTAAAAAAAAAAAAAAAAGGTGCCGAAACTCACACACGTCATACAACCCGCCTTGCCTACTCTACAAGGTTCCATCCCAAAAAGGTGCCGGAACTCCATTTTGGACGTTCTGTGACAAAAAAGGCCCTGTGTAAAATTATTATTAAACTCTTATAAAAAAGAGAATGTTGAAGGTATACTATTGTCAAATAATATAAAATGGAACTAAATTTTTACTTAAACACTACCAGTTTGAAAAGTATATCAATATACCTTATATAAAAAAAATCAAATCTTATTATCACCTTTCTGAATCCTTCTGTATTTTCTATAGTTGACGTATGGCTCTGCTCCAATGACACATGAGGAAAAACAGGCTGGGTTTTATCACCAAATGTTTCCAAATATGGACTATCAATATAAGGGGATTCTTCTGCTACTACAGCATTTTATGTGGACATGGATTGGAGCCTTGTGTGTGAATAATGACAATGGGGAGAAGTTTGTACAAAATGTGATTCCCATGTTTTCCAAAAGTGGAATCTGTTTTGACTTCATTGAAAGATTTCCATTAATTTCTTATTCTACTGACATTCTCACTATGGTGAAAGAAGGGATGAAAATGTACAGTATTGTGATGAACAGCACTGTCAATTCTGTGTTAATTCAAGGTGAAATTGAGATAATGATAATTTTGAGAATAGTTCCCAGTATGTCAAAATTTGAAGGGATAGTATTACAAGAAAATGCTAAAATCTGGATTATGACAGCCCAGATGGATTTCACATCTCTTCCCTTTCAGAGATGGGAAGACTTAGATTTTCTCCATGGTGCTCTATGCTTTGCAGTTCATTCAAGGGAAATTCTAGGGTTTCAGGAATTTCTTCAGATGAGAAAGCCAAACTTCAATCAAGAAGATGGCTTTATTAGGGTTTTCTGGAAGGAGGCATTTGGATGTGTGTTCTCAGGCTCCATGATGGATGAGAAACACAACTCTGTGATGGACAATCTACCAATCTGCACTGGTGAGGAGAAGCTAGAGACCCTCCCAGCATCTGTTTTTGAAATGGACATGACTAGCCACAGCTATAGCATCTACAATGCAGTCTATATTTTGGCACAGGCAATACATGCTGTTCATACAACCACCTTCAAATATAGAGCAAGAATAGGCAGACAAGGACTTATTGAATTTCTCAAACTTCACCCATGGAAGGTAACATCTCAAGGACTCTGACAAGTGTCGAGTATGTAGATTTGTCTCCATGTCATCTAGCAGCTAAATTAAATGTTTAGTTTAATATCATTTTGCTTTTGGTCATAGTGTATTTCTCTTCCTATAAAACCTTTAATAGTTTTTTTTATAAAGGGAGAGTGTAAAGAAAAAAAAAGATTTATATTCCAGAATATTTTCTACCTTTCTATTTATGTTAATATATCTCAGACACACTTGGAACACTACTGCAATCCCGCAATGCAGGAAACAGTCTGATATTTTTTATTATTATTTCTGTTTCTTTTTTATGGATTTTGGAATATTTTTAAACTTATTTTAATTATTCAATAGTGTATTTCCTAATTAGTGATTGCATTAATCCTTCCAAATATAATTGCTTTCTCCAGTGATTCTTAACAATTAGCAGATGAAAAAAATAATGTGTTTTCCAAACAAGTCATCAACAAAAAGTCCAAAAAAGCTCTAAAATATTGATGTTTATTAACATATATAACAATCAACATGCTCATCTCAACTCTTATCAGTAAGCAAATCCCATTTAAATAAAATAATCCTGATAGCTTACTGTAAACAAAATTAAAGAAAATCAAATTTACTACCACAAAATGAGACTACTTCTCCCTTAGAAAAGATTTTTTCCCATTCCAAATGCAAATATTTCAAAATAAAACCACTCCAAACAGGAATTTATCCCATTCAAATAAACATTCAATATCTTAAATCTCAACTATGACACATCCACATTTTGCAAATATAAAGTAATACCAGTATTCTGATATGAATAAATAAACTAAAATTTAGCATAACAAAGAGAAATAATTCACCTGACTTCCATACTTTCAGCAAAAAGACAATAGATAGAAAGCCGGCTTTCATACTAAAAAGTTGGGAATCCCAAAATATTTATAGAAATATCTACATTTTGTTAAATGTAAGCAAATCCAATATATCACACAGAGTGACAAAATTAGTGGACAGGCTTAGGATACAGGAGGATCTGGACAAACGTGAACACTGGGTACTATCTAACAAAATGAAATTCAATGATGAAAAAAATAAGGTGCTACATTTAGGCAAGAAAAACCAAATGTATAGGTATAGTATAGGGGGTATCTTGCTCAATAGTAGTAACTGTGAGAGGGATCTCAGAGTCCTAGTGGACAATCACTTAAATTTGAGCTAGCAGTGTGCTGCAGCTGCCAAAAAAGCCAACACAGTGCTAGGCTGCATTAGCAGAGGGATAGAATCAAGATCACACAAAGTATTAATACCACTCTACATTGCCTTGGTAAGGCCACACTTGGAATACTGCATCCAGTTTTGGTCATCATGATGTAAAAAAGATGTTGAAACTCTAGAAAGAGTACAGAGAAGAGCAACAAAAATGATTAGGGGACTGGAGGGTAAAACATATAAGGAAAGGTTGATGGAATTGGGTATATCTAGTTTAATGAAGAGAAGGACAAGGGGGGACATGATAGCAGTGTTCCAATATCTCAGGGGCTGCCACAGTGAAGAGGAAATCAAGCTATTCTCCAAAGCGCCTAAAGGCAGGACAAGAAGCAATGGATGGAAACTAATCAAGGAGAGAAGCAACCTAGAAGTAAGGAGAAACTTCCTGACAGAACAATTAACCAGTGGAACAATCTTCCTCCAGAAGCGGTGAATGCTCCAACACTGGAAGTTGTTAAGAAGAGACTGGACAGCCATTTGTCCGAAATGGTATAGGGTTACCTGCCTGAGCAGGGGGTTGGACTTGATGACCTCCAAGGTCCGTTCCAACATCATCATCATCATCATCATCATCATCATCATCATCATCATCATCATCATCATCATTATTATTATTATTATTATTATTATCATCATCATCATCATCATCATCATTATCATCATCATCATCATCAAAAACAAAACTAAACAAAACTAAAACCCAACCCTCACCTAGAATAACAACATATCTCATTTCATCTCTCAACCACTTTGTTTTCCTTTTATTTTTACACAGAAAAAAAATACCTGTAATTCATTCTGATTGTTATTGAACCTTGTTTCATAATTCTTCAACAGTTTAAATACTCTCTCTTTTTAATACAATGAAAGGAAATTATTCTTATTGTTCTTAAAGTTCATCTTTATTGCATTCTTAATTTTCAAAACCTCATCTAGTTTTCTCTTTATATCTGACTAGGTCTTATTCAGAGTCTTATTTATTTTTTTCTCAAGTAAATTTTATTGGATATCTCTAATATCTTCTGCTAGGAGCATCGTTCTTAAGAGGATACAATACAGGTAGTCCTCAACTGATAACCGAAGTTTAGCCCAAAATTTTTGTTGCTAAGTGAGACATTTGTTAAATGAGTTTACTCCATTTTTTGACATTTCTTGCCACAATTGTTAAGTTAGTAACAACATTGTTAAGTGAATCTTGTTTTCCCATTGATTTTGCATGTCAGAAGATTGCAAAAGGTGATTACATGACTCTGGGACACTGCAACTGTCATAAATATTTGAGTCAGTTGCCAAACATCCAAATTTTATTCACATGACCATAAGGGTGAAAAAAAGGCACTCTTTTTAGTGCTGTTGTAACTCTGAACTGTCACTAAATGAGCTGTTGTAAGTCAAGGACTTCCTGTATAGTTAACATAACTGAGTCAAATTCCCAATGCAGGACATGGTGCAGGTCCCCAAAGATATGTTTAAATACTATTATAAATTACTCTCATTGTTATGTTAGTATGAAATACAGTTTTCCAGTATTTTATTCTTTTAAAATAATTCAGAACCCTAATGTTTGAAATCCTATATCCCAATATTGTCTTAATCCTTAATTTATTTAAAATTTTCTATAAGCCAAACATTGTTTTGCCTATTGTTGGTTTTTTCAGTTCTCAAAGATTATAAAAATAGATCTTCATATGCTTATATTAAGGATTGAAGGCACTCCAACTTTGTTACTTTCATAAACAAGTGCTCAATAGACAATGTGATGACTGAGTTTATTAAATATTCAGTGATACATATAAGTTTTTCCAACTAGGTCCAATGTTATACCCTCCAGTACATCCTCACTTCTTCTGGTAATAACAATTGTTTTTTTTTTCAGTTCTCAAAGATTATAAAAATAGATCTTCGTATTCTTATATTAAGGACTGAAGGCACTCCAACCTTGTCATTTTAAAAATATGTAATTTTGTTGAAACAATTAATATAGCTACAGTTCTAATTTTTGAAGGTGTTTAGCAAGGGAAGTGCACAAAATCAATGTCCTTCGAAAAGGCTGTTTTTGTGGCTGAAATCTATTATGGCAAATTACCTTTTCTACTGATTCCCTCCCCTCAAGGCATTGATATTTTTTATAAATGTTTTATTAATTTTCTATTAAGTGCTCAATAGACAATGTGATGACTGAGTCTATTAAATATTCAGTGATACATATAAGTTTTTCCAACTAGGTCCAATGTTGTACCCTCCAGTACATCCTCACTTCTTCTGGTAATAACATTTTTTCTGCATTTATTGTTAGTAAACATACAATTACATATCAACATTTGTTACATTTTTCTAATAATATCAATAATATCAGTTTAGAAACTCTTTCCTAGCCCAAACATATATTAATTGCATTTTTATTCAATTTCCACTTATTAAATCCATATCCTATTTTTGCTTTATTTTCAATTTTAATTTCCCATCCATGTTCAAAGTGTCCCAATCATTTACAATTTCAAAACAAGTTGTATTTGGGCAACCAAAAGAATCCCTTATTCAAAATTCTTAACATATTCTTATTTCCCTTTTCCTACCAAAATATAATATTCTGATTACAAATCTGAGCTAATTATAAAAATGCTTCTATTTCTAACAATGTAATCTTAATCATATTCAAACCTCTAATCAATAATCCCTTATTCAAAGTTCTTAACATATTCTTATTTTCCTTTTCATACCAAGATATAATATTCTGGTTACAAATCCTAGCTATCTAGTTATAAAAATGCTTCTATTTCTAACTATTTATTCTTAACCATATTCAAACCTCAATAGTATAGTATCCCTAGTATACTAGTATACCCTCTACTAAGTCAAAGTGTCTATTTCTTTCAATCTTACTCTAGCTTTCTTTCTTTGCTAACTAACTTTCCAAGTCACTGCATTTGGATCATCAAATAATTCAATTTTGTATATGTTATTTGGAACAATTTGGTTAAAATGCTTTTGGAAGAGCTAGCCCATAGATATTCATTAAACCACCTCCCTCCTTCTCCGATACCCCACAGTTCTAATAATGACTTTATCTTCCATTCCATCAGTTCTCCTTCCTTGTCATCCAGTATGTTCTGAAACCTTGATTTATAAAATGTCTTTTCCATATCCAATATTATCATTATATTTTCTGAGTTTTCATTTATCTCTGTCTGGTCATTTATTTCCTTCTTTAGATCATCAATGTTTGTGTCAGCATTCTCTAGTGTTCTTTCTGTTTTCTGGGTTACTGGTTCCTTCTCTGTAGTTGTCTTCAGAGTGTAGATTTGAATTAGAAAATTCTTCTTTTATCTCCCTTGTGTTATTAATAACCTGCTCACAAGCTAGAATAATTGTTTTTTGTATCAATCTCAGCATGGAAAGAATTTCTTTCTGTATTTCATTTGCTTGATGATATAGCAAGTTAACATCTGGGAACAGATGTTAAAGATGTTTTACTATTTAAGGCTAAGTATGAAACATCTATTTTGTTTTGTTTTGTTTTTAAAAATAGCCTTTATAGATTTATCCAACCGATTGTCTGTTCCTGAATCTCTCCTAAGCAGATATAAGTAGAGTTCAATTTTTTTTGTCCAAAAATATATCCTTTCTTTCCAGGGAGAGAGAAGAATCTTTGAGGGTTGTTTAACAATCAAGATTTATAATCCAAAGTGTTCCCCGCCCCCCCCCAAAAAAAATCCACCATGCAATTCTGAAAGTCTGTATTTATGTTCAAAATTCAGACAGGTGAAATTTAATATGTTTATCATCTCTGCCACATAGATAAGCAGCCCCAATGTCTGTTCCTTTTCCCCCTCAACTGTAATTCTCAATAATAAAATACTTCCAAGGCCAGCCAAAATCTTATGTAGTTCTGGGTTTCAAGCCAAGCTTCTTTTAGGCATAAATAAGTTGTAGTGCCATAATTCACTACTAGATGTCATCAACACCATTTTCCAGTTTTTAGATCCAAAACATATATTGTTAAACTTTTCAAGTCTTTTTCTTTAGAAAATAAAAATAAAAAGGTCTTAAAAACACTTTTTGTGCCCACATTTTCAAACTGTAAGTATATTTTAATTCCAAATAAGTCTTATAGGTTTTGCCAGTGTCCCCAAGTATTAATTCGCCGCTTTTCTTTTCTGAAGGAGTGGGGCCGAAATTTCCTTTCCCTCTTTCATAGGGGGGGGATGCTTTGGTCAGATTTTCAGGAAAATTCTTAAAATCATGAAGAAAAGATCTGATCTCATTCAGTTTCATCCACATTGCTGTAAAGTTGCTTGATAGTGCTGGTTGAGTTCCATTGTCCATAGCTTAGGGCTGGCTATACAAATGCAGTCAGTCTTTGCTCCGCTGGAGGGCTTCCTCAAATCAAATGGGGGGCTTCCACCCCCTTGTGATCAACAAGAGTCCCCTCCTTGGTTGCCGCCTCTTTGGGGCAACTTTCAACCCTTTCCATGGTCCCCCAGCAGGATGAAACCAGATGGGAAAGACGGAGCCCCATCTTCCTGCATCTGCATCACTGCAAGAGCCCAATCAGAAGTCCAAGACATTGTTATTTTGTTGTTTCTTTGTGAAGAGTAACTGCAAGAAGCTTGAGCCATCTTTCACCCTCTTTGTCCAAACAGGCTCATACAAACTGAACTACTGTTGGATCCCTTATTTGTTACTACAAATATCAGCTCAAGTAAGTCTGTAGATTTTAAAATTTTTAACAGTATGGTAGACAATGTTTGTGTTCTTTATTAAGAGATACGTTAAATATGAAAAAGTTTTTTCCCCATATTTCTGAAGTGGAATTAAATCTTCACCATTTTGTAGACCATGATGAAATGTTTAGTTCTTCTCTTCATTTACTATTTTTGTTTTCTTACATGTGTGATTTTGTATTTTTGTAGCTCAATGAAATTGTAAGAAGGATCTCATTCAATAATACTGCAGGAGAAACAATATATTTCAACCAAAATGGAGAACTAGAGATTGGATTTGATGTCATCAATTGGGTGACATTCCCAAACAAGTCCTTTTTGAAAGTCAAAATTGGTGGAATAGGATCTGTGACTTCCCAAGAGGACATATTAGTGATACATGAAGAAGCCATCATTTGGCCAAGCAGGTTTAACCAGGTAGAGCCAAAATTCATGTTTGGATAATGTTACTTATTTTTAATTGAATAAATATGAGCTGTGGAATACTTCTAGTGATTTTTCTGTCATCTGCCTGAAGTATTAAGAGATGGTCCAGGGAAAGTAATGGTATAAGAAGGGAAGTTTAGTTGGAAATATTCCCTTCAGGTTAAATAAAGTCAGAAGTGACTTAATAGCATGATTACATGAACCTACCTTCCTTCCTTCCTTCCTTCCTTCCTTCCTTCCTTCCTTCCTTCCTTCCTTCCTTCCTTCTCTTTCTTTCTTTCTTTCTTTCTTTCTTTCTTTCTTTCTTTCTTTCTTTTCTTTTTTTCTTTCTTTCTTTTATTCTGCCCATCTCAATGCTATGGTGACTGGGAAGCTTACCAACAGTAAAAAGATAAATATACAAAAGCATTACAATTTATATAAAACTAAAACCAAGATGGTAATGAGGTGAGGTGGTTTCCTCTTCCTCCTCCTTCTCCTCCTCCTCCTCCTCCTCTACCTGTTAATCACCTCCATTGAAGATTGCCCCCTTCAGGGCTCTAAGCCAACTGAAAAATAACATGTTTTAATGCCCTTCCAGAAGGTCAAGAAGGTAAGAGTGTCTCTCATCGCTGGAGGAGACTGTTCCCCAGTTCATGGGTCACAGTAGAAAAAGCTTTTCTCCTTGACCCCACCAATTGGAATTCCTTCACAGACAAGATCCATAGCAGGCCCTTTCTGCTGGAGCAAACTGGGTGTGCTAATCCCATTGTGGCACAAGGACTCCTCAGATACCTGCACCGATGCTATAAGTTATAACCTATATAGATCCAAAAATTAGGATAACTAAATCCTTTTACACCTACCTGCTTTTCTCTGATGACTTTTAAAGTACATAATCCATATCATTAATGCAATCATATATTGCTTTACATCTCAGAAAAGGTCAGCATGTAACAGACATTGGTTCATGGAGAAACAATCTAAGTTTGGCTTAGTACCAAAAGCTGGAAGAAGTTAAAAAACCTGATAATGTTAGGTAGCTTGGTCATGAAACATCTGTAAGAAAACCACCAAGCTAAGAGAACACTAAGGACACCACAGAAGCTTTAAAAAACTTCCACAAAGAAGATAGAGAAAAGCAACCTCCATTTGGATACCAAAAAAGCCTACATGGACATTTTCTTGTATAAGCAGAAGATGAGCTTAACTCAAAGAGGTTTTTATCTTAGTTTCATTTAAAATATATGGCAAAAAGTGAAAACTTCCGGTGGCGTTTGCAGCGTTGATGGCGGCTTTTTTTTAGCCGCCCGTCTCGGGATTGTGTAAGAGCCGGCAAGACAGCGACCATCAGCTGTTTTGCGGCCAGGAACTTTCTTCCCAGGCAAAGGGAAGAAGGTGAGTTTTTTCTGGATAGAAGTCGAGCTCCTCTAGCCTCCCAGAGATTATTTTCTGGGAGACGAAGGGTGAAAGCTCCTTTGGAGTCTGGAATAACTCCGCATCTCAAGACGCCTTTGTTCTCCTGCGGAGAACGAAGCTAGATGCTGCTTCCACATCTGCTATATAAGAAAGAACTGTAAGTAAAATTTAAAGCAGATGGAGCTGTTCAGGAGGATCAGAACTGTGTTGAATTTTAACTTTAACTCAAGAAGAAATATTGTCTTCTCCAGCTATTATTTTAACGATTGGAGTGAAAGGAAAAATGTCAGAGAAATCCTGTTTCTTTGTTTGAGGACTTTCACTTTTACTTGGCAACAAAGTTTCAATAATGTAACAGACTTTGCTTACTTAGAGAGTTTTTCTTTTTCTTTTTGAGTAAGGGGGGTTGTTTTTATTACCCCTTTATTTTATCTTGTTATAAGAAGTGATTTTTTTCCTTTTTTCCTTTTTCTCATCTCTTTTTTTAAAAAAAAAATGGCTTCAAAATGTCATGGAATTTCTTCTCTTCCTAAAGCTTCAATTTCCTCTCCAGTAACACAGACTATACAGCAACCTAAGCCTAAGTCTCCTCCACCCTCTCCCCCATCTCAAGTACTTTCACTTAAAGATATACAGAATGTTGTACAGAATGTTGTACAGGATGCTATGGGGAAAACTGTACAAAAGATTAATGCTGAGACAGCGGAGCTTTTGGAGCAGAAAAATCATCAGATGAGGGAAGATATTGTGCTGGTTCTTCGTGGGCTTACAGCCCACGTAGAACATCTGGATGATAGGGTGGATGAGGTGGTTGGAAATGTTGAAAGGTTAGAAGGAAGAGTTGAAAGAGTTGAAAATAATGTGGATGCAGTACAGAATGAAATTATAATGTCACAATACAGAGATATGGAGTTTGCTTTGAGAATAAGAGGGTTGAAGGAGAATGTACAAGAAAATTTGAAAGAACAAATTGCAGCAGAATTAGCCTCTATTTTGGGATGTGATCCTGAAGAAATGCTGAGAGATATAGAGAAAATTTTTAGAATTAATTCACGGGTTGCAAAGCAGAGAAATCTACCAAGAGATGTGGTAGTTTATTTTTCCAGGAGATCACTTCATAATGAAATTATACAGGATTTTTATAAGCAAAGATTTCAAATTGCAGCTCAAGATGTTATAATTTTAAAAGAAATACCTCCAAAAATTCTCAGAAGAAGAAAAGATTTTGCTTTTTTGGCTGAGGAGCTTAAGAAATGACAGATTCAATTTAGATGGGATGTACCTGTTGGCATAGTGGTGAACTATGTTGGAACATGTTACAGACTTAAGACAATTTTAAAAGCAAGAGATTTTTACATTTCTGTTCTGAAGGCAGGTGCACCACCATCTCCAAGATCTAGAAGAAATTAAAGTAAGTTCGAAGGACAATTGGCTGCAGGAGCAATGTCACCAACAGGAGAAGAGTTGTTGGTTGAATCTATGCAACAGTGTTTGGAGATAAGAGAAGATCCAAGGGAGCAGAGAGTGACTCGTGCAGCCCATAAACACAGAGAAAAAGAACAACAAAAGGTAGATGCTGGAATTACAATACAGGCAGCTACCTCTGAGCCAGTGGGAGGAAAAAGACCGAAGATGTCATCAACTGCAGATCTAGATGCAGTGTTCCAAAGGCTTCAAGCTCCTAGAGATGGCAAAGTTCCTGACATGGAATGTTAATGGCCTGAATTCTCCACAGAAAAGAAAGAAAGTATTTTACTATTTGAAACAACATAAGAATGATGTTATATGTTTGCAAGAGACTCATATTGCTTTAAAGGATGAAAAATATTTGATTAATTCCCGGCTGGGAGTACATTTTACAGCCTCTGCTCCACAGAAAAAAGCAGGAGTAGTTATTTATGTGAAGAAAGACTTATTACCGAAGTTGATTGATTCTGATCCACAAGGAAGATATGTTATTATTGAATTATTATTAAATGGCAAGAGAAGTCTTGTCATTGGACTATATGCTCCTAATCAGCAACAAAAATATTTTTATAAATTGATACATCAGAAAATAATCCAGTTGGACTATAAATCAGTAATTATGATGGGAGATTGGAATGGTGTTTTGGATTCAAGTAAAGACAAGAAGAGTTCTTATAAATCTCTTAATCATGCAAAATTACCCAGAGGTTTGTTTGTTTGTTTTTGTTTGTTTGTTTTTGATTTGAAGGATGATTTGGAACAGAGACATTTGGTGTGAACGGAATATGGAAGAAAGAGACTTTACCTTTTTTTCAGACAGGCATCAGTCGTATTCTAGAATTGACTTTTTTTAATTACTGTTTTTTTTCTAGGGTGAAGAATGCTAAGATATTCCCCAGAATATTGTCAGACCATAGTCCTGTATGGATGGAGTTATCTACTGAAGATGGGAATTTGAATGAAAACTTATTTAGATATGAGGGGAATGTACAGAGATATAGAGATTATTTAAAGGAATTTTTTTCTTTTAAATATGCATAAGGGTACTTCAATGCCAATGGTATGGGATGCCAGTAAAGCATATATGAGAGGGGTCTTGATTCATATGAACAATGTGCATAGACGTAAACAGATGCAGAAACATAAAGAGTTGGAAGTAGAGATTAAATCTAAGGAAAAGGCTCTTACATTAAATCCATTGGACAATAATTTAAAGGCTTCTATTATCTTGCTTAAAGAGCAATTTAATATGTTAATATCTGATCAGATCGCAACTAATTTGAGGTATATGAAACATAATACATTTTGCAATGCAAATGAACCTGGTAGGTGGTTGGCTTACCAACTACGAAAGAAACAGAAATCAAGGATTATAGAGAAAATAAATTATAAAGGTAAAGAAGTTTATCAACAAAATTTGATTAAAAGAAGTTTTTTAGATTTTTATTCAAAGATATGCTAATGAAAGCATACAAGCTTCAGATATAGAAAAATACTTACAGGAATCACATTTTCTTAAACTTACTATTGAACAAAGAGATGAGATTAATGGTTTAATTACTTCTGAAGAGATTGTCTGGGCAATTAAACAATTAAAAGTTGGTATGTTATCTGAAGAAATGATAGAACCATTGAAGGAACTTTTTAATAATATTTTGTTGGCAGCAGAGGTACCTCCATCATGGAGAAGGGCTTTTATATCATTGATCCTGAAGGAGGATCAAGATTTGACTCAGCCCAAAAATTATAGGCCTATATCGCTTCTGAATACAGATTATAAGATTTTTTTCAAAAATATTGGCTAATAGATTAATGCGAGTTTTGAAGCAGTTGATTCATAGTGATCAGTCTGGATTTATAACTGGAAGATATATGAAATATAATGTTAGACAAATTGTTAATTTAATTGAGTATTTAGATAAGAACAATCAAATCCCTGCAGCTTTGATTTTTTTAGATGCTGAAAAAGCTTTTGATCAATTAGATTGGCAATTTTTATTTAGAGTAGTAGAGGAAATGAATTTTGGGGATAAATTTTTATCTGCCCTTAAGGCTATATATCAACAACTATCTGCACAAATCATAGTTAATGGGGAATTAACAGAAGCATTTAAAATTGAAAAGGGTACAAGACAGGGATGTCCTTTATCACCATTGTTATTTGTTTTAACAATAGAGATTTTACTTATTAAAATTCGGGAGTCACCTTGTATAAAGAGAATAAAAATACATAAGAATGATTATAGGTTGAGAGCCTTTGCTGATGATTTGGTTGTGACATTATCTCAGCCGACAAATTCGGTTAGGGATTTGGTTGAAATTTTAATTCAGTATGGGAAGGTTTCTAGTTTTAAGGTAAATAATAATAAGACTAAAATATTAGTGAAAAATATGTCTATGAAGGAAAAGGATATTATGGTTAAATTAACAGGTTTTGAAATAGTGAGAAAGGTTAAATATTTAGGAGTACATATAACAGCTTCTAATGTTAAATTGTATAAAAATAATTATGGGACATTATGGGCAAAAGCGCAAAAGGACTTAAATGATTGGAAAAAAAAAATACAATTATCTTTGTTGGGGAGTTATAATGAATATACTTCCAAAGTTTTCTTTTATTTCAGCTGATATCTATTTTGAAAAAAGATGCTAATTTGGAGGAATGGCAGAAGGGGATTAACAAATTTATTTGGGGAGGGAAAAAGCCGAGAGTTAAATTCAAAATTATGCAGGATACACAGGAAAGAGGAGGACTAAAGGTGCCTAATTTAAAATTGTATTATGATGCGGTGGCTTTAACACTGATTAGTGATTGGCTCAACTTAACAAATAAAAACATTCTTTCTCTTGAGGGATGGGATTTGTTATATGGATGGCATGCATATTTAATTTATGATAAAAAAGTTGATCAGGTTTTTAAAACCCATATTTTGAGAAGTGCCTTGTTGCGTGTCTGGAAGAAATATTATTATAGGTTAAATTATAAAATCCCAATTTGGGGGATTCCTGGACATGTGATAGAGGGAGTATCTAGGGGAGTAAATTTGGATAAGATTTCTTACAAGGAATTACTTAGTTTGGTTGGGCAGCATTGGCAATTAAAGCCCTTAACTGAGTTGAAGCAAGAAAATATTGTATATTCTTGGTTTTATTATAATCAATTGTTAGTGAGGTGGAGTATAAATTAAAAGGTTGGTATCACTTTAGAGGATATGAATTTGGTAAAACAGATTAAAGATCAAAGTCGAGCTCATATAAAAAGAATGTATAGTGCCTTAATAGAATTGGACTCTGAAACAGAGTTAGTTAAAGATTGTATGGTTAAATGGGCTCAAAATATTCAAGATCCAATTTTATTGGATACATGGGAGACAATTTGGGTTAGAAATGTAAAATTTACTCAAGCACAAAATTTAAGAGAAAAATTTTATAAAATGTTTTATAGATGGCATTTGGATCCCCAAAAGTTGTCTCGCATGTATCCGAATTTACAGCCCAAATGTTGGAGATGTGGAAATTTAGATGCAACTTATTTTCACATCTGGTGGACCTGTAGAGATATTAAAGCCTTTTGGATTAAGATTTGGTGAAATATTCAAAACATTTTTAAGAGAAAGATAAAGTTTACTCCGCAATTATTTTTGTTGGATATTATTGTAGATTTTGATGTTAAAGAAATTAATTTGATGTTGAATCTTATAACAGCTGCAAGATTATTGGTGGGGCAATATTGGAAGAAAAACTCACAGCCTACTTTGGAAGAATGGATACTTAAGGTGTCTAATTTAGCAGAAATGGCAAAAATCTCTGCCTATTTGAAGGACCATTCACAAGAAAGATACACTATGGTTTGGAGAAGATGGATTGATTATATTCAAAAGAAATATGAAACTGAAAAATATTACCTTGCTTTTGAGTAGATTTTAGATAATTAATAATAGTTTTAATTATATTATTATTTTTGACTTAATTTGTTAATATTTGTTTTGAGAAGGAGTTAAAGTGTGTTTTGGTTTGATTGATAGTGTAGTTGGTTTATGTTAGTTAGATTATGTTTGTTTATTTGTTACCCTGTAATCAGCTCTGGGAAGTGGGGAAGGGGGGAAGGGGTGAGGGGGTGGGGGGTTTATATTGTAATAAATTTTTTAAAACCTTTAATAAAAAAAAATGGCAAAAAGTCTGAGTGGTTGCTCTCCAAATCCCATACTATTTTCCTCCTCTTGCCTCTTTTCATTGACATCACTCACAACACTTCCAACCAAACATGATACATTGTGAAGCTTTGTGGACAATAACTATTACTAAGCAATTATTGAAAAAAATAAAGCATTTTTTCATTTCTTTATGTATAGGTCCAGCCGCTTTCTCTGTGTAATAACTATTGCTCTTTGGGTTATGCTAAGACCAAAATAGAAGGGAAACCATTTTGTTGTTATGACTGTCTTCACTGTCCTGAAGGGAAGATTTCCAATCTCATAGGTGAGTGTTGAAAAAGGAGTCATGCATATGTTTTGTAGATATTCCTTTCTAGGAGTACATTCTTTTTTACACTTGATAGCTGAGTATAATGGTATGATTTGTTATGACTATAGATCTCAAAACTGATTTCTCACATTATGAAAAGATTTCTTTTCTTTTTTTCTGGGCAGCTTACATAATGACAAAGATAGGATGCTGAGATATTTGAGATTCTGGCGGTACAGAGACTAAAACTCTAAGAACTGCTTCAGAATACACATGAGCACCAACATAACGCATACCTGAAAAAAAGCTGTCATGACATCCCAGGAAATCAGAGTGATGCAGAAAGGAGATACATTTGTGTTTCTCCACACCCAAAGACACTTGGGAACATCAAATCCTATGCTCTGCACAGATCTGTTTTACATTTCTAAATTGAGTTACTAAAGTGATTGATGGTTAAAAATAATACAGTTAGAGCTATATAAAACTACTGTCTCTTCACCACAACAGAATCACTTTTCTTTTTTTAAAAAAGAGATGGCCTTTCAGATTTTTTTTTTTAATGGAAACAGAAAAAGGATAAAATGTCAGGCTCCATAAAGCAAAATACATCTCCAAAGATCATAGTTTTTCAAGCCTGAAAAATACTTGTTTAATCAATCAGTGAACAAATTAGCCCAGAGTTCTCACTCAAGGCACAAATGGCCAGACACAAATTATTATATTTTGGACACAATTCTGCAAAAGCCTAACTTTCTGATGAAGGGTCTAATGATGGAAATGGAAGAAGTGTCATGTGTTTAATTTCAGTGCAACCATCTTTCTAACCTGAGTGGTTTTTTCCTAGATATGGATGACTGTTTTACATGTCCAGAAGATCAGTATCCAAACAAGGATCAGAATTCATGTCTTCCAAAAAGGCTAACCTTCCTAACATATGAAGAATCACTGGGGACCATCTTAGCCATTTGTTCTCTTTTGTCTTCTTTTATCGTATTGTTGGTTCTGGGTGTCTTCATTAAGTACCAGGATACTCCCATTGTCAGGGCCAACAACCGAAACCTCACCTACATCCTTCTCATTTCCCTTCTGCTTTCATTCCTGTGTGCTTTACTGTTCATTGGCAAACCTCATAAAGTAACATGTCTCCTCCGACAAAGTAGTTTTGGTATAATATTTAGTGTAGCTGTATCATGTATGCTAGCAAAAACTACCATTGTGATTTTAGCTTTCATGGCCACCAAACCAAACTCTATAGTGAGGAAATGGGTAGGGAAAAGATTGGGCATTTCCATTGTATTTTTCTGCTCCTTCATTCAAATAATTCTTTGTACTGTTTGGCTGTTCACCTTTCCTCCATTTCCTGATTTCAACGTTCACCTAATGGAAAAAGAAATTATTCTGGAATGTAATGAAGGCTCTTTTATCATGTTCTACTGTGTCCTGGGCTTTATGGGCCTCCTTGCTCTTGTCAGCTTTACATTAGCTTTCTTTGCCAGGAAATTACCGGACACTTTTAACGAAGCCAAATTTATCGCCTTTAGCATGTTGATTTTTTGCAGTGTTTGGCTCTCCTTTGTTCCTAGTTATCTGACCACCAGGGGCAAATATATGGTAACTGTGGAGATCTTCTCCATTATAACATCCAGTGGTGGCCTCCTCATATGCATCTTTTTCCCTAAATGCTATATCATGATACTGAGGCCTGAACTGAATAACAAGCAGCCACTAAAACAAAGAAAAAACTGAAAGATGTAGAATTGCATTGCCTTCTTTTAATTTAGTCATGGAAAAGTAGTAAGACCCCATACTCGAGACCTATAAGTCTTCCCCATCTACCAGTTGCAATTGCTGCCATTACATCTATAATTTTCCTTTTTATTTTAGGATTGGAAAGCTGGTTCCATTTTTAATGTTTTATAATATGTCCCACCCATATTTGTACAGATGGTTGGTATAAAATAATGCTAAATAAAAAATAAATGAATAAATAAATGAATGAATGAATAAATAAATCTTAAAAGAGAATCAAGTCTGTGATTTTCTTGCAAAAGACAAACTCTTGAATGATGAGAAATGCAATATAAGGTCCTCCATTGTTGTGCTCATAGCACATGGTGGTGCAAGAGCAAAGGTCTGCTTCCCGTGGCTGGTTTCGTCCTGCCCGGGCGACCCTAGATGGGTCTGAAGTTGCCCCGAAGAGGTGACTGTGAAGGAAGGGTGTTCCATTGATCACAAAGCGATGGAGGTCACTTTGTTTGATCTGGGGAAAGCCCTCCAACCTGACAGGAATATTCCTCAGACAGGAAGGTGGTGCAGAGAGTGATGAGGATGGCTGAAAAAATTACTGGCAGTTCTCTCCCTTCCTTCAAGGAGCTAGCACATAAGTGTTGCTTGAGTAGGGTCCATAAGATTGTCTGGGACAATACACATCCTGTTCATGACCAGTTTTCCTTGTTACCTTCTGGAAGGAGGCTTCGTGATATCTGAAGCAGAACATCCAGATTCAGTCACAGTTTTGTTCCATACATTATTAACCTTGTGAACTCTAAAGCTTCCTCTTTCTCTTATATATTCAAGATGGACAATGGTTAATATTTATATGTTACATTTATGTAAGGGTGTAGGTCTATACATATGTTGTATATAGTATGTTTAAATGAGTAAATGAGAGCAAGTAACTAAATTTCATTTTTAATGTGTGCCATTGTGCCCACAGTAAAAAGGTATCTATCTATCTTTCTATCTATCTATCTATCTATCTATCTATCTATCTATCTATCTATCTATCTATCTATCTATCTAAAAACAAATCTTGTAACATCAGTTTGTAACATTATGGGAGAAGCATGAATAAAGCAGTTTGCTAGGACCAAATGATTAAATGATTGAAAGGATTTATTTACTGTGGACTTCACGAGGACTGTCCCTTCTTTCATGCCTGCATTTTCTTTTCTTTTTTCCCCATTGTTATTGTCATTGGGGTTTTTTTTAAGACTTGCTATCACCCAGTGCAAATTCCTTTATTGCTTGGTGGTAGCCAGATATTTTTTTTTTCCTGAGAGATGACAAATAAATTCTTGTACAAGGTTTCCAAGACCTGGAATTCTAAGTTAGTGATTACTTCAAATCTAATGATTAGTATAATTATGATAGTCAGGAGAAATGGAGATACCTCAAGTGGATCAAAAAACTGTCAATACACCATGTTCCATTCCTATCTGCAATTAAATTTAGCCAATGATTTTTGCCTTAAAATATAAATCCTTTTCATACACACATGCACACAAAAACACACACATGCAGACCAAGTAGATTTTTGGGGGGATTTTTAAACTCAAAATTGAGAAAGACACAAAACATTTGTGGAAGGTTCATGTGAATCCAGAATGAATTGTTTCATTTTATGTGGTGTGTCTGCCACATTCCTATCAATGCTTTGGCCACAAGGAATGTGTCACATTTCTCACAGTAAATGCAGCATTGCTGAGCCTCTGCCTATTCTTCACAAGCAATACCAGGAAGGGAATATCAACATTGCGGGCATCATTTCTCAGATCTACCTGCTTTATATGATGATGGACTTCAAGAAACCTCCTTCTAGTGACCTTTTTGAGGATATTTTGTAAGTATTTAATAATGGCAAGATGCATACATGTAACATAGATGCTATTGTGAGCGAAGAGCGTTGCTTCAATTATATCACACATGCATCATACTGACATCTATGTAGGTATCCAGCATAAAGGGTGCCATTTGGCCTTGAGGCATCTGTAGAGTATAAAATAATTGCTTATTATGTATGTTATATATGCTTGTACTGTATTCACTGGCTTTGCATATACATAATGATTTTATAGCATTTATATGTTCTATATAATTATAGCCTTCATCTGTTTAATTGATCTGGTGTCACCAAACAAAGAATGTTAGAGAACAAATATTTATTTTTGTTGAGGTAATGGTTCAAATTCCCCTTTCCCATTATGACAATGTCACAAATGTTAGATTTTACCTGTAGAAGCCAGGGTCTTGTCTTTGGAGATATTATACCATATAGTCAATTTAATTACATTTTTGTACAGCCAAATTTATCCAAATTGTACTTTGTTTGTCACAATACGAAAGCTGTATGAAAGGAGCTAAGAGCAAAATTCTCTTGCTTAATAATATCTATCTACCTACCTACCTACCTACCTACCTACCTACCTACCTACCTACCTACCTATTTCTATTGGATTTGTTTGCCACTCATCTCTCTCTTCAAGGTAACTTCGGGTGGCTTAAAAACAAAATCCAATAAGACTTTGAATAATAAATATTCCTAGTAACAGTAATAAATTACATTTACAAAGATAGGAGGAAGAGAGCAGGCTGTGCATTGGGGGAGGTGGTGTCTTCTCTTAATTCATCAACCACCTTTAATGAACATCCTAACCTAATCAAACATGGAGTAGTGTTCGGTTTATGCCATGTAGATCTTTCCAGAGAAAAGATGGAATTGAAGAAAAGCTGAATGACAAAGAACTCCATTGTTGACCTCATTAGCAACAGCCCTAAAAAAATGCCCCAGCGATTGATGCTCATTCTAGATATCTTGACCAATAATGAAGGCATCACTGACATACTAAACCCTACTTAATACTCTCCTAAATCAAATATATTGGAATACCAGGCAGGGGAGATTAGAAACCTGGTTAATCTGATGATCATCAAATATTTCAAAAAAGTGCCTTGATTATTTTAATAGCTAGAAAAAGTAGTATGAATCAAACCATTGTTTCATACACATACTTCAAGACCTCATATTATAGCTGAAAAGATAGGCAAAATAGATAACATATTCTGAGTTAAATATATTATAGCAGTGCATGTAACTGTCTCTTCAGGGTCATAACTCAGATTTACCAACACATCCTCGCTTTAGTATTTGCTGTCAAGGAGATCAATACTAATCCCCAGATTTTACCCAATGTTACACTGGGCTTCCAAATCTATTTTATATCAAAATGGATGTATCATGCATCAATGGAACTCCTTTCATCTAAAGACAGATTAATCCCTAATTACAATTGTGACATCCATAAATATCCAATAGCAATAATTGGAGGACCTGATACTGATATATGTCTTCATGTGGCCATCATTCTGCACATCTACAAGTTTCCTCAGGTAACCATCTATATGGAATACATATACAATCTGATTAAATATAACATTTGTTTTAGATAAGACTTGATCCCTGGGAGAAAGTAAACCATGACTAAAATCAAGTGGCATATTTTTCTTTCAACTCTATTTTGAAATCTCTGAAACACACTTGTTAATGGCTGCTCCTTTTTCAATTGCATGAATAATAATATTGCAGAGCCTCATGATATTAACAAAACCTAGAAATTTCCTGGTGCATCAAATGTTACTGCATACTGGACATTCACAGAACATACTTAATAACTGAATTAGCCCTTTTCTGATTTCACACAACAGACTGAACCAATTTATAAAGCATAGGAAGAGACAAAGAAATGTAAGCAAATTTAAGACCAGCAAAAATTGATTAGCTGTTGATCTTCAAAGTTTACACTTGAAAGTGTTCAAGAACTCAACTGCCAAATCTAAAATTGTTATTATGAAATGAAACTAAACTTTTGTGTTGTGCACTAATTACAAAAAGTATATCGACACACTTTAAAAAAACTCAAAGCTTATTGTTTATTTTACTAACTCTTCTGTATTTTTATAGTTGATGTATGGGTCTGCTCCCGCAACAAATAAGCATAAACAGGATGGTTTTTATCATCAAATGTTTCCAAATATGGATTTTCAGTATAAGGGAATTCTTCAATTACTGAAGCATTTTATGTGGACATGGATTGGAGCCTTGTGTATGAATAATGACAATGGGGAGAAGTTTGTACAAAATGTGGTTCCCATGTTTTCCAAAAGTGGAATCTGTTTTGACTTCATTGAAAGATTTCCATTAATTTCTTATTCTACGGACATTCTCACTATGGTGAAAGAAGGGATGAAAATGTACAGTATTGTGATGAACAGCACTGTCAATTCTGTGTTAATTCAAGGTGAAATTGATATAATGATAGTTTTGAGAATGCTTCCTGCTATGTCAAAATATGAAGAAATACCATTAGAAGGAAATAGTAAAATCTGGATTATGACAGCTCAAATGGATTTCACATCTCTTCCCTTCCAGAGATTGGAAGACTTAGATTTTCTCCATGGTGCTCTATCCTTTGCAGTTCATTCAAGGGAAGCCCTAGGATTTCGGGAATTTCTTCAGATGAGAAAACCAAACTTCATTCAAGAAGATGGCTTTATTAGAGTTTTCTGGAAGGAGGCATTTGGATGTGTATTCTCAGACTCCATAGTGGATAAGAAACACAACTCTATGGTGGAAAATCAACCAATCTGCTCCGGGGAGGAGAAGCTAGAGACACTCCCAACATCTGTTTTTGAAATGGACATGACTGGTCACAGCTATAGCATCTACAATGCAGTCTATATTTTGGCACATGCAATACGTGTTGTTCATTCAACTACCTTCAAATATAGAGCAAGAATAGGCAAACTAAGACTTATTGACTTCCTCAAACTTCACCCATGGAAGGTAAGGTCTCAAGAACACTGAGAGCTATAAAGCTATAGCTTTCTCTCTATCTCATTTAACAGACAAATCACATATTTAGTTCAATATCATTTTGCTTTTGATCATAGTGTATTTGCTCTCCAAT